CCTATTCACCTTCCCCGCGAAATTGAGCTTGGGGGACCGGTGCAGTACCGCTGGATGTACCCAATGGAGAGGTACACACCGAGTCGAACCTATTAAATTTTTAACTGCTTCGGATCCTTTATATAACGTAGCTAACTTTTGTATTCTGATTTTTTTTTGGTAATTTTACTAGGTTCTTAGGAACTCTTAAATCATATGTTTCTAATAAGGCTCGTGCCGAGGGATCCATTGCCGAAAGGTATATAGCGAAAGAGTGTTCAGATTTCTGTTCTAGATATCTTAAAGGTGTTGAGACCCGAGCAAGTAGGCTAGACAAGAAATGATGATGGGTTGGACGATGTAGATTATAATGGGTTTGATGTTTTCCGTCACCAAGGTAGATCTATAGGAGCTGCTAACTATGAGCCTATAGGTCAGGCTGAGTTCCATAAGATCCAATGGTATGTCTTCACTAATTGTGATGAAATTGAAGACCAATTGAAGTAAGTTTTTTTTCTTCTTCTTTGTGTTCAGATTTCTGTTTTGTTTCTAAACCCCAGTTAGTTTTGTCTTCTTCTTTTTTTGTACTTAATAAGTGCCATTACAGTGTGTATACGGAGGAGAGATTCTTGAGTTATCTAAATAGTACCCCAGCAACCATTGCAGCTCACTTCCCATCTTGGTTTAAAACATTTGTAAGCGCCAACCTTTTCCATTCTTTTTTCTTTGTCTTACTCACATCATCATTTTCTTAAATTTTTGGCCTCTTTCATTTCGTTTTAGGTCTCCGAAAAGTTTTTGGTTGGCACGCTTAAAGAGACTGACCATTTATATGTCCTAGGATTAGGGGCTGATGAAAGGATTACTAGATATCCTGGACTCATCATTAACGGGGTTCGATACCAAATATACATGTCTGATGAAGGTCATCGAACTCAGAATAGTGGTGTCATGGTTAGGGGCGAGCACAATGGCGAGACTATAGAGTATTACGGGGTTCTGATGGAGATAATTAAGCTGCAATATTCTGGAGGGCATCGGGTCTTTATATTCAAGTGCGAGTGGTTCAATGTGGGTGACAAGAAGAATGGAATAAGGACGGATGGACACTTGACGAGCATAAACATGGATCGAAAATGGATTAGAACCACCCTCTGCGACAAAAAAGAGGGGACTATCCAAAAGGTATGAGATAATGAAGAGAACCGGAATTGGAGGAAAGATAGATGGAATTTACGTAATGGAAAATGGGCAGTCATTCGTAGGGCCAAATGAGAGCTTGCTGAAGACAGAGTTGGGCGTCGTAACACGCCTGATGGCCCCGATAAGGAAGTACTACTTGTCCAAATTGACTGAAGCAGACAAGCACCCGTTATTCAAGAAGCTAGAGGTAATTTTCCAGTACTGCTAGTTTGATGTGAAGCTAGTTGTAATTCTTTTTAGATAAGTATAAAATGCAAGTTGTATATCTTTTTAGAAATGTGTTATAATATGTTCGTATATGAACTATATAATTGTTTTTTCATGTAGGATGAATTTGACATAGACACAGCAGGTGAAGATGCAAGGAAGATTATGGAGAAGAGAATGAAGAAGCGGTTCATCAATTACAAGTATGTGATGCATGCTCACTACTTGAAAGACCCTGAGAAAGGCAGGACAGACGCTCCTGTTGACATGAATATAGAGGACTGGCATCTGCTGTGTGATCACTTTGAGAGTGAAAAGTTTCGAGTGAGTAACTCCAACTGTTTCATCATAAATTTCCTTTGTTACCTTGTCTTACAATCAAAGGTTGCTTATTAATTAAATTTGTCGTATGCAGAAGCGAAGTGAAATTAATATAGTCAACAAGAGTAAGCAAGTGTATGCACACACTTCTGGTGCAAAATCTCTTGATCAAAGAATATATGAATTGGTAAGATGTCTACAATTCCATGGAACATTTATACGGTATAGTTATGTGATTAAAATCTGCCTCAATGTAACTGCTTTGTGTAGGAGAAGAAGAAGAAGCAGAAGCAGCAGGAGCAGGAGCAGCCTACTGGAGAGGAGCAGCCAACAGAAATGGAGGACGGTGAGACCGTAGAGGAGGAGCCACTAGATCTGCTTCTCTATGCAAAGAGGTATCAGAAGGCTGACGGTAGTTGGGTATCGGAGGAACCTATGAAAAATTATGTGAGTCCGACCATATCACTTGCATTGTTTCATTGTCAGAAGTTCATAGCCAACCGTGTCACCTGTTTCATGAACACTTTTTGTTCAATGTGCAGCTGGAGATCCAGTCCCTTTGGATAGAAGCAAAGGCAGAGGGGAAGCCTGTATCAGGCCGCGAGATTGTTCAGACGGTCCTGAAGAAGAAGCTGAAGTATGGACCCAAGGAGAACCCAAGATCAGCAAAGGAGCAACAACTCCAAGCGGAATTGGAGGCAGCAAGAGCTGAAGTAGAGAGAAAGGCTAAGGAGTTTGAGGAGAAGATACAAAGTCAAGAAGAGCAGCTAAAAAGCCAGGTAGAGAAGATACAACTCCAGGAAGAAAAGTTACAGAGCCAGGAGGAGAGGTTTGAGACTCAAGAAGAGGTGATGAACCAAATGAAAGTTGCCCAGGAAAAGTTACAGCATCAAGTGCTAGTGATTTATTGCCAACTACCCCGCAAATGAACTGCCAAGTCCAAGGTAACAACACTGCCTCGGTTTGCAGACCCAGATGAGACTGCAAGCTATTTGTTGGTGTTAGAAGTATGTTAGTTTCTGCTTTTGTGAACAAAGTTACCGTGGTTTGTGTACCGGTGAACAAGGAGTTTCATGTGTTGTGTCATGGTGGAACTTAGAATGTTTGTTTATGTTGAACAAGGAGGTAGACTGTTATGGGGATGGAAATGGATGTATTGTTTTGGATGGTTGGAAATATTTCCATTGCAAGGCAGAATGCACTATCGCATTATGGATTTTGTAAAGCAGGGCAAATGTGACAACACTGTAAAGTTGTCATATTATGTAAAGTCCATGACAAATTGTCACTTTGTCATATTACACAGAAGTCAATTAAACCAGCTTTCTTGACGATCTATACTTGTCATAAAACGCAGTTACGACAAACCCGCCCCGTCACAATTATAAGTTATGACAAAATCCGTTCGTCCTAATGTACAGAAATGACAAAATTGATTTGTCATAGACGCAGTTACGACAAAGGATATTCGTCACAATATAAATTATGACAAAATCAATTAGTCACAACAGTGGGATGTAAGAGTACAAAGCCAGTAATATGACAAAATTAATGACACAACATGTTGTCATAATAGATCCATTTGTCACATTTTAAACATATCCTGACAAATAAATATTTTGTCATTATAGGCGTGAGACAAATTACTAACCTTTTATGGCAAACTTTGTTCGTCACAAAATCATGTCATGACAAACTATGATCGTCTAATATGACAAACACTTTTCTAAAAATTAACAATTTATGACAAATATAATGACAAACATATTCGTCATAATTTCTCTGTTTGTCACAATAGACCACCCAGAACCTCATATATGCCGAAACCAGATGTGACAAATGTTGTTCAACAATTTGTTACATTTGACCTATCTTGACGGCGATAAAATGACAAATCCTTGTGACAAAAGCATTTGTCATATAAGATCAAATATGACAAAATAGGTATCTAATATGACCAAATGGACGCGTCATAATAGGCCGAATTTGTTGTAGTGAGTAGACTGGGGGGTCAAAAGAAGTTTCCATGATGGATTTGCCATTGTTATATTTGTGGTTGTATTAGGAATTTACTTTTGTGCCCTTACTGAGCATATTTATTTTTACATTATAATTTTTTTTATAAAGCAATTTTCATCCAATAGCTTCGTCCCACTACCACAATCGGAACAAATAAACATCATTAATAAATAAGAACTTCATGTTATACACACAATTGGACAATTCCCTAAGGTGATCAATGTTGCAAAGTATGCTTTGGGATTAATCATGTAGTGCTTGCACACCAAAAAATAATAATAATGAATATTGAATGCAAAATTAATATGCACTACCAGTTGGTCATTAGTAAATGAAACAAGATAAGTTGGTGATTAGTGAAATAAGTAATGTTAAAAGTGTAAAAAGTCATCATGGCCTCGTTTGCTTCATGGAATTGGTCATGAATTTATTACGTAAAAACCAAGCATCATTAATGTACACAATCCGTCGTTTGCTTGATGGATTTAGCAAGAATAAATTCATGGGATCCACGAACTTCTCTTAGCCATATTCGCAAGAAGTAATTGATCATTTCACATATAACTTAATTAACCTTTTTCATGCATCTTTTGTGTATCATGGATAACCAGCTCATGCCTACGAGGTTATCTCCGTTGAATAGGGCACCCAGAGAAACAATTTTCTTCCTCATTAAATATTCAATTGAAGTCTTACAATTCTTCGTATCGAAGATTGTACTTAAACAGTTACTGGTAACATATTTTGTGCTGAAACCGTGATTTTACAATTTCATACGCTAAAACCACCTATCAACTTGAACTTTGATAGACAGTTTTTCCGATCGGACCATCGATACTGTACCATTCCATATATATAGGTAATTAATATCAAAGTTCCCAAGTATATTGTTTAGATCCACTTATTAGAAATCTCTCAGGCCAATTATTAGACTCTCAATCATACAAAGCTTGAAGAAAAGCTTCCTAATGATGACACAAGCTGCTTACAAAACCCAGATCCAAGACTTACCCAAACGACAACTATTATATTACCCCATCACTTAACCAAAGCAGAAGATGGCAGATGTTTTCAACCGAAATGTTCCCTCCCTCCCACCACCTAATCCAAGATCTTGTTGGTTTGTGCCTCAAATCACATGTGGGGATATGTATTATTTACCCAATACAAACAAAACAACCTGACCTGGCTTCCCATACTCTGTCATAGAGCAAGCACAAGCACCATGTGCCCACGCTCTCATCTCTTTCAATTGCAATTTTGAACACATTGCATCCGCAAAACGACGACACCATTAAAGATAAACGACAATATTAAGAGCATCTACAGAGTTGCACCGAAACCACTAACACTGAAATAACTTTACTTACAGTAAAACACACTCGTGACTGAACCATGAACAAGGAAACTAAGCGGGGATGCTCAAGAATCAAGAGCTCCACGTTTTTAGCAGCTGTATGGAGAAAATTGCAGAGCAGAGTACAGAGAGTGCTAAGTAAGGAGAGTTGTTAGAAAATGCAGAGGAAACTGGGAGAGAGCCGAGTGGTGAGAAAGAAGGGCCGTAAGCGGCGGCGGCGGGGCCTTGTGCGGCGGCGAACTCGTCCGGGTTAGGAGTGCTTGGGTTGGAAGGAATGGTGGGGATGGAAGCCACCGACGGCGACGGCAATTCGCCGCCGGGGGTGGGCAGCAACGGAGCAATGTCAGGGGAGAGCTCTTCGTAAGGGGAGAGGGGAGGGGAGTTTTCTAGGAGTGCTGGAGAAGCTGGGATGATGGTGGAAGGTTGAGAAGTAGTGAGAGAAGGGAAGAAGAGGATGGTTGCTGAAATCATGAGTATCGAGAGGAGCGAAAAGGAAGAAGATGAAGAAGAAGAAGCCATTTTTTTGTGGGTTTTTTTTTGGGGTCTAATGATGGAAAGCAACTCTCACTTTAAAAGGAGCAAAGGCAGAGTTGGGGGACAGTGGAGAGGAGCCTTTTGGTAGGGTGGCTTTTGTTAAAGAATAGAAAGAAAAAAAAAGGGGGGGTTTGATTGGAGACCATTTTTTCAAAGGTGGGATCAAGCATGTGATGAGTGGGCAATGATGGAAAATTTGCAAGGTTGGCATGTTGAGGAAACAAACAAAGATTGGGTTGGGGTTTTTGTTTTGATATGATATGATATGTTTGTTTGAAGCTAAGATTCCGTTCATCCTAGGATGATGGTTTATAGAGTACTTCAAAGCTCCTAAAGATAAAAAAAAATGCAGAAGTTACTAAGAGTTCAAGGAATCTGATAATAGATACCTTATAGCAGCAATGTTGCTAAAATGCTCACAGCCATTATGTGAGACAGTTGAATCGTGTGTGGACGTATAGCGCTCATTGAATCAACTCAGTAACTGTCATTGCATCGATTCATCAGCTCTGTGCGCCTGTAAGCACGTTTTTACATAATGGTTGTGAGCATCATAGTCGGGTTATTACAGCAGCACGACACTTGTGTATGTGAGCACCTGGAAGAAGATAACCAAAAAGCATAGATCTATGGCTTTAGAGTTCAGCCCTATCTTACTGGTTAGTGAAGTCAGTGAAACTGTGGAAGTCAACCACTCCGCATATAGGCAAAAGGTTTACTACCTCGAAAGTAATTCAATGATGTGGGACAATGAATAATTAGTTCATGAGAGATCTGAAAGAGGGACTCCAGTAAATCCAGATGTTATGCATTGAATTCATGTAGGTACTGCTGCTAAAGCCTAAGGCGAATCAATTCCAGAAGACAAAAGAACCCAAACAAAGAGGTATAAAGTAGAAAAGATAGAAAGCACTGCGAAAAAGCGAAAAAAATTAAGGGAAAAGGTAATAAATAAATTGTACACTTTTCAGGGAATACAATTATCATACAACAAGAGGCCAAAATGACACCATTCCCAACAGTTGGAACTCACCTGGATCTGCAGATATATAATACACCAATGATTGAACCCTTCGCCAATAATACCGCATCTGGAAGAGAAAAGAAAGAGACGAGTAAATAAATGAAAAAGATGCAGTAGTGAAAACACGAATTGATAGTAAAGAAAAACCTTCCGCAGTACATCAAAGGTGCCGAGGCAGCCGCTGCAACTCTAACCCAACAAGCGAAGCAGCGTCGGAGAGATCGCCGCCGGCGGAACCCTTGATCTCCATAACTATCCCCTGTACCCTCGAAACCTCAGCGACTGACATCGACAGTATCATTGCATGAGATAAGTACTGCCGGCAAGCATAGCAAAGAGCATGCAGCGTCCGGAGTAGAATCAGGCGCGGGACTCCCCTGCGCCATGGCTCGAGGATTGTGCTGACCTTGGGCAGGTTGGTTAGAAACCCAGTTGTGGCTTCCCTTGGAGCTGCCTTCAGTAACAAGACAACGCATTCGGAAGCTAACTCGGCCACGTTCGGCTCCGTCGACGAGTTGCAACTGAGTTCCAACCACAGACCGACATTGCTGCCGAAGTCCATCACGTCTCGTATTCCGTCCACGGAGCCGCCGGAAGAAAACCCACCGGCGGCGGTTAAGAGCGAGGGTTGGGTTCTGAACGCGGACCCCTGTTCGCCGGTGAGTGAGCGGAGAAGGAAGGCTCTGCAGAGGCCGAGAGTTGGCTCGAGGAAATCTTCCATGTCTTTGGCGCAGACGAATTCCAGGAGATTGCTAATTCTTCGAACTACTTTGAGCTGAGAGAGAAGTTTGGATTCCATTTCGGGGGCGGAGGCCATGGCTAGACACAGCTTGACGTTGCTGACGTTTGCGCTGGAGAGGTCTCCGAGCAGGAACCCGAAGCACTGGGAGACTGTTTTGACGTGTAGGATGTCGGAGATTTTGATGAAGTTGAAGTCGATGAGCATGACGAGCAGCTTCTGGGAGAAGATCGGGATTGGGTCCTCGTCTTCGACGAGAGTGGGGTAGAGTGGTAGGAAGTGGACATTGGCTATGGAGTTCAGAGCTTTGGAGAGTTTATCGTCTTGGGATAGTTCGTTTAAGAAGATGACCATGACGTGGAATAGGATTTTCAGGCAGAGGAATCTGACGTGGCCGTCTTTGTTGCCCTTGTACAGAGTAGCCAGGCTGGGGAGGATTTCACCAACGAAGATTTGAGGGTAGAGGTGGCAATTAGGATCCAAATCCATGAATCCAATCCAATCCATCCACCCAATTATCCACCTAATCCAATCCATTTAAATCCAATCCATTTGATCCAAATCCAATTGGATTCATGGATTCATGGATCCAAATGGCAAATTACGATTTGGTACCTATATTTTTTATATTTTACATTTTGGTACCTAAAATTTATATTTTTATACGAAAAATATCATTGGAAAATTACATTTTGGTACCTAAAATTTTTCATTATGACATTTTAGTACCAAAACTTTTCAAATTTTACATTTTGGTCCAAGCCTTGGATGTCATTTGGATTCATGGATCAATCCACCAATCCATTTGATCCAATCCATGAATCCACCAATCCATTGGATCCAATCCATTTGATCCATGGATCCACCAATCCAATCCACGAATCCACGAATCCGATCCAATTGCCACCTCTATTTGAGGGTTTGCTAAGATCAGAGGAGACTCCTCTACAATGGATTCGAGAACTTGAAGAAGCGTGATTTGGAAGTCATCTCTCCCCTGAAATGAACGAAACAGAACAGATTAGTTAGCCACACACGCGACCTTATTTTGACGTCAATCAAGGTACAAAGTATGAGGAGAACAGAAGTAAATGTAAAAGAGAATTCTTCTGATGTCAACAATCCTTGGTAGGCATGCAAAAAGTTTGGTAACATAACATGGAATCGACACATCTCTACCAGTTATCTTCTGAGATCTCAAATCACTTGCAATGAGGAGATTATGAGATTCTCTGAAAAATCCACATTCCACAACAATGCAGTGCAAAAGATGGAATTTTCATACACCATTACTATAGCAATCAATAAAATGTTAGACATATTCCACTGATTTCCACATACAAACGATCCTGAAGGTAAAGAGAGAGCATACTCCACATGAATCGGATACGTAAAAACCGGCTGGGTAAACATCAGAAGTTTGGTTGTTTATGGTTGTTGACATTCTAGGTAATGCAAGCTATCATTTGACAAAAAGGAAAACGAACATCACAAGTAGGTTAGCTTCAGAATCTTACCTGAAATGAAGTCTCCACAAGTTTTAAGAGGGTGGCCAGCTGTTGCAGCACATGGCCGTTCACCACCCTAAGCTTCAAGGACAAACTTCCAAGAAGTCGAAGGACAAACGGGAAGAAGTGTACGCTGGTCTTAGAAGCAACCCGACTTGGAGTGCCAGATATCTGGCCATGCCGTCTTCCTCCGATCATTTGCTGGATATCTCCGGCAATCAAATCCAACAAGCTAGGTACAATTGATGAAAAAACATGCAAAAATGCATCAAGACATTGCTGGAGGAAGCCATCTTTCTCTTTGGCCAGCCTGTCCACAGAAGACAGTAACCTGTCGTTGCAGAAGAAGTGTGTGAGCCACCTCCTACCATTCTTGCAGAGAAGTGCAATGAGAACTAGTGCCTTCCCTTTCAAGATTTCACTACCCTGCTCGGCAAGAGAAACAAGAGAGGGCACGAGATTTTTATCTTCAACGAGAGGCAGAAGATGTCTTCCAATGTTTGTGAACAAATGACTTCCGAGCATGGCCATGTTTAGGAGGTTCAAACTTATCTGCTGTTCACGAGCATTGCCTTTGATAATTGAAGCTGCTGCCTCCTTGAAGGATAGTTTCTCCATGACTGATTGGATGCTAGAAGGATTGAACCGGGCAAGTCGAGCCAGACATGAACCGGCAGTCATCCTCATGCTCTCCTGTTTTCCTGGTGCACGGTATATGTAACATAGGTTACTGATCACGTCTTGACTAGTGAATCGTGTAGCCCAATGACCCCCTTGGCTGCATACATTTTCTATTGTTCTCAGGGCATAAAGCTGAGTTATATCATCCTCTCCTTTACGTAGAACTGAGGATACCATTGAGATGAGCGAGTTCGGAACCTGCCTCATGGATAATAGTTTTGATCAGAGAAGGACAAAGCTGGTATGCATATGAGAAGAACTCAACATACAACTATTTCTTCAGGCGCCAACTCAAAGAGTTCTTAAGAAATATACTACAGACAATGTAAACTAATGAAAATGACTTTTAAATAGAGATGCGTGAAGAAACATACTTAACAGAATGAACTATGCATATCTCCAGGACTGGACAATTCAATTAATGAACTCTTAAAAAATGTACTTGGCACAGTGTAAGCTAATAAAAATGAGTTCATAAATCAGAAATGCTAATCTAACCTGCCAGCCAGGAACTGATTTATTGTTGTCTTTTGCCGGAGATTTAGATGGATTATTGTCCTTAGATTGATCATTCTGGGTGGCTATGTAAAACAGTAACTCACCTAAAGCAGCCATCGAGAATCTCCTTACTTTTTCCTGCCTGTCCCTGAGGCCATCTGTAAGGGAACTTAATATACCAGAATTTGCCAGATCATCATCGATAAACGTAGCATGACGAATTAACAAGCCGATTAGTGATGCAAGTTGCACTCGTAATGTTGAAGCCTTGGACAACCGAAGCATTTTAACGAGTATGAGCATCACTGGTCCATTAGTGAAGGTGTTAGCTATCTCAGCATTGTTGCTCAACATCTCAAGGTATCTAATTGCATTCTGTTTCTCCCCAACACTGGTGTTGCCATTAAATATTGATACAATTTTTGCATTGACTGAATGAAGCTGCTCTTTGGTCATCTTCAACAATTCAGTTGGCTGCAATGCCTCAAAAGGAAGAGAAGGAGGTGCCTCATGTGTCTTATCCCCTTTTCTGCTGGGCATCACAGGTCTCACTGAAAGATCAGATGGATGCCAAAGTACTTCGGAGATGTTATTAGAAGACTTTGAGGAGTCAAATTCATGTGCTGACCCCAAACCTTCTTTAACTCTCTGATGTTTAGGCTGAGGACTGGCACTGACTGGAGTATCACCTCCCATGTCAGCAGTCTCTGATGGTGATTCTAAGTCATTTGTTCCTTGATCATCTAATGCAGGGGTGCTGGTTACAGGAGAAATGTCCATTGGCTGAACATGGTTATCAACCCTTCCAGGCGTACAAATTGAATTGTCACTCCCTTCGGGTTCATCTTGTGTGTCATCTTCTGTGTTCTCATTGAAATCAAGCTCCATATCTGTGTTCTCCATTTTAATCTCTGAATCGTTCTCAGAGGCATTAGCCAAGGGCCTCCTGAAGTTTTCCTTCTCATTCTCCCTCTGCAAATTTGTCTTTGCTACTCTTGATAACCTTAACAGATTAATGCGACTATTAGCAGAAGAATTATCTTTCTGCTTCTCCTCAACTGCTCTGCCGGAGGCCTTTGTTTGTGGTCTTTTGCTGCCAGGTGTTCCCTTGACTGGGGTCTCAAAAACTCTTAATCCCGACTGTGAATTCTCATCTTTTCTTGGAGTCACTCTTGCATCTCTTTCACGACCTTCCGTGGGGGTTTTGTTTTGAAGAGATCTGTCTCCGTTGTGTTCTAACAGGCATGGCCTAGCATAAAATTCAATCATGCAATCAAAAGCAGGTTGTGGTGGTAATGACATCAGAGGAAGTTTGCTTTTCCAAAAAGCATGCCCACAGAGGTCACTCCACTGAATCCTTTCAGCAGGATCCTTGACCAAGAGAGAGTTGACCAAGTTCGCAAAGTGTCTACTTGGATTGCCAGGAAGTGGTGGAGTTGGATCTGAGACAATGGACTTCACTAGCTGGGTGAACTCTTTTCCCACAAAAGGAGGTTTCCCTGCATAGCACTCATATAGCACACAACCAAGGGCCCAAAAATCAGAAGCATAGGAATGGACACCTGCATCCTCGAACAGCTCAGGAGCCATGTAACAGGGCGTTCCACATTTGGCTTCTGTTGACTAAACATGTATGTAAAAGGAAGGTTACAATCTCAACGTCATAAGAAAAACAAAGTTGAAAACCCAACGCATTAATCTCAATCACATACCGAAGAGTGTGTTTTAGATATATCACTTAGCTTCTTTGCCAATCCAAAGTCACAAAGCTGCATTAAAATTTAAAACCATTAAAGTGTAAGTCAGGCGCATGGTAAAAGCAGAGACAATAATTCAACAGAGAAGAAAGGCAAAATCCATGATCACCTTTAAGAGTCCATTTTCATCCAAGAGGATGTTAGATGGTTTTAAATCACAATAGATGATCCCCTTTGAGTGTAAATACCTGGCACCAGTTAAATAGCTTGCATAAAGTCCCACAAAGAGAAACATACAAATTACTCAAATTGCAAACCAGTCGAGCGCATCTTACTGCAAGGCTGTCACCAAGTCAAGTGCGAAATCCTGAACTGAGTCTTCTGGTAGCTGACTATCCTGCGATCCATATGCTCCGATTTCAGCACATCATATTAACATTCCCGAATGTTTTCGAGCAGAAATACTAAAAATGTTAGTTAAGGAAACATAGGTATGTGCACAGGAAGCCATCACAATACCTGCTGTAACAATGTCCTGAGATCTCCTCCAACACAATACTCCAAAACTAACCACAAATGAGCAGAAGTCTCGTACCTATTCCAAATTTAAGGGTGCTAGGTTACAATTCGAAAGGTGTACATGACAAAATCAAATGCAAGACGTCTAGAGTTAAAACAAAAAAAAAAACAAAAATTGTTGCCTTTTCGAAGTTTCCCGACATTTCAATAAAACCCTCTCGGAGTGTAAATTTTGATGAAAAGTTCAAGCATTATCTCTTCAAATGCATGCTTACCAGGAGTAAAACTTCAGCACGTTTGAGTGATCCAAAGAGTGAAGAATCTTAACCTGCAACCAAACGAACCAGCCACAATCAATGCACGAACTCATATCTCTCCGTAGAACAAAAACAAAAACGTTTCTTTCAGCTTTTAATTCACCAAAAAAGTACAGATCGAAATTCTGAACAGAAATACAAATGGAGAAAGACGACCGCCATCTCGAACTCAATCGGCAGACCGATGAATCAATTTCACATTCTGAAGTTGAGAGCAAAACGTATCAAATTCGTGATTGAACTCTAGTTGACTAACCAACCTTCTCAGGCAATCTCAATTTGCAGAGAAAGGAAAGTAAATACAGAACTGAAGAAACAAGCTGGAATCTTAAAAAAAAAAAACACAGATCGAATCGCGAACTGAAATGGAGGAATCAACCAAGCCTTACTTCGTGAAGAACCTTCCTCTTCTGCGATTTATCTACACTCTTAATTGCATAGTACTCAATCGTCTTCTTCTTCCTCCCTTTATACACAGTCTGGAGCGCATAAAAAACGACAAAGGAAAAAAGCAGCAGTAACGCAACAAGAATTAGAACCAGAGACCATCGAAGTTCTGAGAGCTTGCAAACGAGCTACGTGCGGGAGACTCACCGAGCACTTGCCGCGGCCAATAGCTTCGTAGATGTGGAAACGGTTCATGCTTGGCTGGGCGGTGAAGTGAAAACCGCTAGGGTTTGATTCGCCAGAAACCGACGATGCCTCGGCCGCTGTGTTGCAGCAAGATGCAGAGATCGGAGCGAAGTTACGGCAATGGCGTCTGTTTTCGCCCGTTGAGTACAGCCAGTGGATACGCCTGCAGTGCTTGCTGCGAGAGTGGGGAGTAGAATGATTTTGGTCAAAAGAGAAAAGATGGCGAGAGAAGGGGGAAAAAACACAAAACAAAATGAGAGGTGACTGGTGAGACAGGCGGGAATTTGAACGTTAATGAAGAAAAAAAAAAACAAACCTCCCATATTTGGGAGAGACGAGGAGTAAAACGCCGGGTACTCGGATAAAGAATTTTGAAAAGGGTAAATGACACATTTGGTCACCAACTTTACTAAAAGTGTCATGTTTAGTCACTGAAAATATTTAATTCTAATGTTAGTCACTTAAATTAGTAAAACGGTCCACGTTTGGTCACTCACCGTTAGTCTCCGTCCAACTTCTTTAATGAAGTTCGTTAAGTGCTGGTGTGGCAAACAGAATTATCTAATCAGCCTAATTTAACCCGAAAATAATAAAACCAGACCCGCCACGTCACTCAACCTGCCATATCATCTTGCCCAACCCAACCTTTGAACCAAACCTATGAACCCAACCCATCTTCCTTCTCCAATCTCTAACCCTCTTCCTCGCTGACTTTTCCCCAATCTTTCTTCTAACCCTTCACACATGAAGTTTGGGATTCTTCCTCCTCCTCCATTGCAAATACCGACTTACAGTGTGTGGACGAGTGGTGATCTGTGTTGCGACCACTCACACGACGTGACTAGAGGTGTGAATAGTCTTTCATAGTAACTTCGTCGAATATAGAGGTAAAATGTGATTAGTTCGTCGTGTTAAAGAGCTAGCTCTCATGAAATAATTCATGGATTCAATCATACATTTACAAATATGTTAAAGGGTTGACTCATTCTAACTACAACATCCCAATCGACGGCCAAGTATAACCGCCGATCGGGTGCAGCATAGGGCAAACAAGCAATAAGAATTTATCGTACTACAGGGATCTAGGCTTACCCTACTTCAGGTTTAGGGTTCATTATCTAGCCAATCCTAGGATAGTGATTAATAAAACTAAACTAAGCTAACTAACCTAGACTAACCACTAACCTAGCTATTTACAAGGTTTGGAGCTCTCTTGGGTTAAATCCCCCTATTTCCGACCTTTGGATCGATGTTGAGTATCCTCCTAGTTCGATCGACTCAAATACTCTACTGTTTGGAGAACTCCCTCGGGAATGACCCGGAACGACAAATCGGTGGATGGGTATTGCTCTATTCAACCTATGGTATCGTATAATGCTAGGAGATTGGTCGAATCAACTCCCTCGGGGACTACCGGCGCAATATACGATATGATTGACCCAAAGACGCCAAGGAAGGGGCTCTAAGGGGATTATCCCACTCCTAGGTCAAAAGCTCAAAGCATGAAAATGAAAACCACACTAGTGCCATTCATGAAAACATCCATCAATTAAGTAAAATCATCAATCAAACTAGTAAGTTGTCACATACATCAACAAGACAACAACAACCCAAAATCTAGACCTAGGGTTCTTAACCCAAGAGAAGAGGGTGAGTTTCTAAAGAGAGAGAGATGAGGGATTACAAAGAAACCTCTAGATCTTCATCTTCTTCTTCTAGGCTTGATTCCTAGCTTCCAAGCTTGATCAATGCCTTTACTTAAGCCCCAAGATCACTCCCTCTCTCACTAGAACTCCCCTTTGGTGTTTTGGGTTGAAACCCTAGAGAAAGAAAGTGTTCATTCTCCAAAAACCAGCTCTCTTTTCTCTCTCCCCGCTGTTATCTTAATATTTGTCCGAAAGTGACCAGTTCACGACCGCGTTGGTCAATTCACGGTCGTGAACACCTAAACGCGTCTGTGAACTCAGTGTCGTCTCCAAAACGCACCACTTCACTCTCCTGGGTTCACGGTTTGTGGTTCCTGTTCACAACCTTAGAGACCGTGAACTCCATTGCCAGGCCGTGAATTGCGGCTGCTTCATGGAAGCTTGCGCTTCACTATTACGGGGCAATTGTCACGGTGACTTTGGACTTTTCTTTGGTTTTTGCACTTTTTGACCTCCAATCGTCCTAAAACTCATCCTCGACCCTTCCACACGTGTTAGGACCTGAAATGTATCAAAACAAGCACAACCTAGCGTGAAATATGTCGAGGGACGATAAAATGCAAAGCCAAACGATCAAGATATGAGAGGAAAATGTGTACAATTAGACCCGAATCACTCCCCCACACTTGAACGTTTGCTTGTCCCCAATCAAACCAAGTATAAAACAAGGTAAGCTTGCAACTTCTCTTTTCAACAAAATTTTTGAGGCATGTCATAGGGCACAAAACGAATGAATCACAATGGTTATTTGACACCGACCTATGGACAAAAACAAAGTAATCTTGGCAACCACCACAATCGACATTCAGTTGTATTAAGATTGTGCAAATGAAGAGTTCTTACATTATTCACGAACCAACACACAACATGCCTCGACGACTCACTAATCACAGTTACTCATGCATGAAGATCACATCATAGGAACGAATGAACGAGCAACCTAGGTCCTCACCGGGGTATAAGAAATGAACAAAACATGATGAACGAATCACTCACTCTCGACCAGTGGGGTCAGAACCATTTGATGCAAAAAAATGTGCATATTCACGCTCAATCCTAACGTTCCTTTACCATGACGGTAACCTTTAAATGTTAGAATTCACAAGATGGGTGTCGTTGCTAGCTTGTCCGGAGGTCTTAGACACGGGTTCAGATGACTGGCTAGGGTTTAGGACATGGGGAAAAGGCTTTTTGGGTGGTGGCAAACATAGCATAAGGTTCCACATTTCAACCTAGAACTAAAGTACAAGGTTCTTAGCTTCGATCTAGAACCTTCCTCAACAAACAATGACCACTAACAACGGCTAAAGACCACACTTCCCACACTTCCAAAACACAACCAGTCACCAACCCATTCAAAACTATCTTTCTTTCTACATTTGCTATTCAATTTCAAGCACAAGAGTGTGGAAGGAGAACAACATGTAAGTGTTCCTAAAGCTTGCATGCTAAGCAACACTTCTAAGACCATGTTCAACATTTTATTATATTTTTGGTGGACACTCTCTTTCCTTCTTTGCTCTCTTATTGATCCCTTTTTTTTTTCTTTTTGCTTTTCTTTTCTCTTTTCTTTGGGGGCTATAGATAGCTAAAAACATGCCACTTTTTTTTAAACTTGAGGAACAATGCTCACTTTAAAACCTACCTCCACACTCACTTCACATTCTTAGCAAAACCATACACAAATCACTCATGTGGAACCTCATCTAAGCTCAAACGGTATGAATGGAGCTTCTAAACACAAGGGTGACTCAATAACAGTGTAGACACGAAGAAAGTAGGTCGTTCTATCTAAATCAATCAAGCTCAAGTAGCATGAGCTACCTAACACGAGAACGACCCTTAGACACACGACTCAAAGGGGTTGACTAAGGGATGATATGATCGGGTCGGTCAACATTTGGGTCATGGACTAAACCTATGCCTCCATCATACTTGCTAGCAAGTAGCAACAACGTGAATGCTACGCATCATGTAAAGGGGGATCTATCACACAAGAATGAAACGAACGACACAAGTCTCACATGGCTACCTAGGTGCTCAATCATTCGTTCTAATTCCCTAAACTCGATGCATATGCAACTGTGAAAAGAAAGTAATCGATTCAAAACATCTATTGGCTCACAAACACATGAGAAATTAACCTATGCACAAACCTAATACATGTATCAATCATCATCATATGTTGCACATAATCACAAGCAAACCATCCATAGATCATGCTAATACCCACGAGATTCAAAACAAAACCAGACAAGATGCCACTATGATCATGCAAATGTAGAAGTTGTTATTCTTGGAGCCCTCAAATTTTTTCAAATTTGGGCATTCAACGAGGTTCCAAGCGTTCAAAATCACACCAATCATTCACACAAACATGCATACTAGACTACCCCCCAACACTTAAGCTTGACATTGCCCTCAATGGCGTAAAGTAAGGAGGTAGAACGATGTTACTGGATATGATTTGAATGTTGGTGGTAGGGATCGGAGGTCGGGCGAGATCCGGAAGAGCAAGGAGACGGAAAAACACCACTAAAATCTCTCAAATGGTCTACTTATTGGAGCGGAAAGCAAAGAAACCGATGGTAGATGAGTTGCCTCCCACCAAGCGCTTCTTTAACGTCGTGAGCTAGACAATTGATCTTCAAGTTTTGGTCCACCCAAGAACATCCTTGAAGTTTAGGTTCTCGTCGGTGAGGTGGTGTCTCAAGTCACGAGCTTTGGACGAGTCCATGATTGAGGGCTCGTGAACTTGAGTTGTCATGAGGCTCCACCCACAAGACCTATTCTTCTTTCCTTCTTCCTTATTCTCTTTGCCCCACACCATGTAATGCACCATCGCTTTACCACCATCACATCCACCAAGAGGGATCGTCGATGGTTTGGCCTTGGCTTAACAAAGAGCCCCAAATGGGTCCTTCTCCAAAAGCGCGTCGAGGTCGGGTGGAAAGATTTCACAGCCCTCGTAACTTGTGAATGCTTCATCCACCTCGACCTTGTCCTCATCTTGGACTCCACTTTCACCTTCTTCTTCATCCTCCCTTCCTTCTTCTTCAATGTGTTCATCCCTTTGGGAACAATCAAGATCTTCTCCTTCTTCAATGCTTACTTCCCCCTCTTCAACCTCCTCATTCTCCTTCCCCTTCATATCTTCAAGCACGGTTTGGAGGGCAAGATGCCATGCAAGATCATAGAAAGGATTCTCTTGCTCCTCCATACTCGTGATTGGGTCTTCAAAGTTGCTTTTGGGAAGGGGAAGATGATGGGAGTGGTCAATCTAACCTTCTTGTTCGTTCTCGCCGCGGGAGCTCTCTAGGGTGAGTTCTGCTTGCTCCACACGGTTGTCATTGATCGGTCCTTGAACCTCCTCTTTCTCCTCCAATGATGAGAGGCGATAGCTTGCACAAGCACGTGTCACCTTCTCTTCTAATGTCAAACCAGGGGGATGGAGGGGATGGAAATCCGTGTTGGAGCTTGTTCTTACAAATTTCTCCACGATAAGCTCCAACTTGGACTTCTCTTCGGGTTGTGGGAGATCCAAGCTCGAGCACCCTTCGTTGGTGCCTTGAACAAACCGCTCCACCAAGGGCTC